TATGAAACCTTTAGTTTGCCTAACACTCTTAACCCATACAGTAAAGTTATGGATCACTTTAACCAGGATTCATGCTAAATTCAAGCCAACCAACCATATCATAGCTTAAAAACCTAGGCGACACATTATTCTAAGCCAACAGTTGATTTATTTTGGCACAACATGATGTTTTGGCCTCCCCCCTTTGCTTTTCATGCTGAGATTTGTGACTTAGTGTCCGGTGAACTGTGCTAATTGAAGCTTATTTAAGGTTAAAATGAATCAGGGCTTAGTACAATAGCTAAAGCCCAGCCAATAGGATAGGTGAACTATGTCATAGATTGTGTTCCCCCATCAATTTGTATTGGGGAATCGTGGTTTACAGCACTGTTTCTCAACCTGAGCACCGTTACAGTGGGTGGGCTTCAACTCCCCAAATCCCTCAGCCAGCATTCCAGCTGGGAATTCTGGGAGATGAAGTCCACCCATCTTAAAGCGGCTAAAGTTGAGAAAGAATGGTTTAGGGATTAATCTACAACATCTCTGTCTACACGAATTAGAGACCAAAATTATATCTTAGCATAATGTAAAATTTGAACTACAAATCAATCTCTTGCAGACATCATTAGAATCAGGTTACTTAACCTGCCTGTCAAGCACCACGGGGCTTGCCATTCGCTGGGGGGGGGAGACCGGCAACACCCGCCGCAGCCGAGCGCCGCCGCAGCCGCCACAGCCACCCAGCAGCAGAAAGCCGTAGCAGCCGACACCGCAGCCGCCCGGCTCTCCTCTGACCTCGTCCCAGCCCGCAGGCCGCCGCCTACCTCGCTCGGGCTGCAGAAGCTTCAGGCGGCGTTGCCCAGCTCGAGGGGAGCGTGCGCACAGAGGCCGCATGCGAGCGAAAGCCGCGGAGAGCCAGGGAAGACCGCGGACGTCGGGGGAGGGGCCAGCAACGACTGCTGCCAGCACGACCCCTGCCTGCACGACCCCTGCCTGCACGAGCAAGACTGCAGAGGGACTAGCCGGGACAAGGGCAGGGTGCAGCTGCCAAACGCTCGGCGGGACATCACGAGGGAGGGGTGGGTCCGGGCTCCGGAGGCATTTATAAGATATAGGCGGATGTTGGCTTGCTGCTGGGGGCGGAGGGAAGGGGTGTGGCATCTCGATATACAGCACTGGGAGCAAGCCACTCCCAGTGCTAACTTTATTTTGGCTGGGGAATAAACTACCCTGTGAGCACCACGTTCCTGCGTTCCTGTCATTTTTCGCGCCTCGGGACGCCGACGGACGGAGGGTGACACTGCCATTGAATTTTTTATTGATACTTTATTGGAATCCATTTCAGTCTCTTTCCCCGTATTTCTACACAGGCCGGGATCAAAGAAGATATAGAACACATCTTCCAAAATGGAGACATTCCAAAGCCGGGAGATATGATGCAATTCCAACTGGTTTTCCCTGCCCAGCATTGGGGTATCTACATAGGCAATGGAGAAGTTGTGCATTTCTCATTATCATGTGAGAGAAAAGTATTTTATTATCTGTTTCAGGGGTGTCAAACTCGCAACGTCACGTGACGTGTTGTGACGTATCGCGACTTTTTCCCCATTTCCGGCCATGGGGTGGGCGCAGTTTCGACGTGACACATCTGGCCCGCGGGCTGGCAGTTTGACACCCCTGATTTATATCCTACAGAAATGTCCTACTTTTCCCCTGGGAACTCAAGGGGAAAGCTACCTGGGAGACTTTATGGTAGGCTCACCTGACAAGCCACATCTAAGCTAGGTTCAGCTGAGAAAAAATGATGGAGAGTGGAGCGTAGGCAAGTCCAGAGAAATGGCTGCAAGGCTACTTGGTCATCCCACACCTCCTCACAAGGAACATCTGGAGGGGAGTAACTTCAGGAGAAGGGGGTGGGGAGACTAGTCTTTGCCAGGAACAATTGTTTGTGTTAGATTACAGTAGTGGCCAAAATTGCGGAAACCTTTTGGGAAAAGTGTATTTTTGAGTTTGGATGGCTAATAACACCACTTTTTTTTGGAGTAGTACCATAAAATTATATATCAATGGAAAGATAATTTAATCAAGAACGTAATGCAACATAGTTTGTTCAATTATCTGCACTGCATTCTATGAAATGTTATAGCCAAATCACCAGAAAAAGGAAGCACAACTTGCTTAGGTTGATCTCAGGGAGCTTTCCTTCATCTGATTGTAGCCAATGAGCATGAGTGTTTAGAGAGCCAATCAGACATCATCTTGCTTTGGCCATGAGCCAATCGGATCACGGTAGGATTCAGTTATTGATGTCATGTATTGAAGCTGAGAGGAGTACCACCAGTCGCCTAGCAAGGTGTTAAAAACCTGATGCCCCCCCCCAAAAAAAGAAAAAAGTGATGAAGTACAGGTAGTCCTCGACTTACAATAGTTCACATAATGACTGTTTGAAGTTACAATGGTACTGAAAAAAGTGCCCCCCAAGCCACAGCTGAGCAAGGCACCTGCCTGCCCACCCAGCGGTGCTCTTCCTCCTGTCTGAGGTTTTCATTGTTGTGAGCATTTCTGTTGAGGATTGACAGCGGGGGTGAGGTGGGGGAGTTGTTTGGTTTTTATTCCCCCCATCTGCTGGGTGGATGCAGCAGGTTTTGATCAGTTCACATGACCATCATAAATATGAATCACTTGCCAAGCATCTGAATGTAAATCACAAGACCCTGGAGATGCTGCAACATTCCAGCTGATCAGCACTTCTTCTGGGCTCAGCAGAAGCGCCAGGATCAGCGCCGAGCTCCAGCCCCGAAGAAGCGCCGATCAGCTGGAAAGCGGCACTGATCCTGGCGCTTCCGCTGAGCCCTGACAGCCCTGCAGCTCCAGCCGTCTCTCGCTCAGGCTTGTGCGGTGCTGCCACCGGTGCAGCTCATTCCTCTCCCCCGCTACCATTTTTCTAGGATGGTCGCGTACCACCTGCCAGGTGCCAATGTACCACAGGTGGTACCCGTACCACTGGTTGAAAAGCCCTGTCTTACAAGGATGTCAACAAAATCATTTCTGAAACCCAGCATCTCAACTTCTCTTTTTTCAGTTTCTGACACATTTCCGTACAAGGTCCGCAGAGAAAAAATCAAGGATGTCTCAGGAGCTGTGAAAAGTGCCGTGTGGAACAAATTCGATCACAAATATCCTCCCTTGGATCCTACTCGTGTGGTGAAAAGATCTCTGCATATGGTAAACAAAGTCCCAGGATACAACTTCGTCACTGCAAACTGTGAGCACTTCGCCACGTTGATGAGATACGACAAGGCTCTGTCTGATCAGGTAGGATCTCCAGTTCTCTGATCATTTTTTTCATTTCAATTGGCTTTTTTTTCCCTCCGCCTCCAGAAAATACAACAAGTTGCAGACCCTCTTTGGGGCTTTTGCTTCTATTTTTGCTTATTTATAGCTTCCTGCGGTATTCATGAATCCAGTTAGGTGGAATCAGATTTTGGTCGATTAAATAAAGAATACTTTTTAAAAACCCTAAGGAGATATTCCAATAAGTGCAAGGATAGATCACAAGGAAATCTGAGTCTCAACATCCCAGAAAAAAACAACAACACAAACACAAGTCAGTGTCCATGTCCATGAAGTCCTCAGAAGTTGAGATGAACTTGAAGGCTTTTTGATATGATCCATATCTGAAAGGCTAAGCGCCAAAGAATGGAGGCCTTTGAACTATGGTGCTGGAGAAGACTCCTGCGAGTCCCCTGGACTGCAAGGCGATCAAACCGGTCAGTCCTAGAGGAGATCAACCCTGACTGCTGTTTAGAAGGCCAGATCCTGAAGTTGAAACACAAACCACCTAATGAGAAGGAAGGACTCACTGGAGAAGGGCCTAATGCTGGGAAAGATTGAGGGAAATAGAAGAAGGGGACGACAGAGAATGAGGTGGCTGGATGGAGTCACTGAAGCAGTAGGTGTGAACTTAAATGGACTCCAGAAGATGGTAGAGGACAGGAAGACCTGGAGGAACGTTGTCCATGGGGTCGCGATGGGTTGGACACGACTTCGCAATTAACAACAACAACATATCTGGATTTACAGCCCTATTCTGTAAGTTCTCCTTCTTGTCCCTCCAGCTGTTTTGAGTGGCTTCCACCAATGTGTTATTCTCCATAAGTGCTGGCACAACTCCTATCACCCCAAGCTAGAGTAATTCCTTGAAGACATCAAGTTGAG